ATTATATACTAATATAGAAGTAATGATATTTATAATAGTATACCTATTATTACTCCATCAATACTTCCACATTCCCCTTGGTGGCTAAATGCAATAAGAAACACAGGGAATTTGGCAACAGACCTGGGTTTGCGTTCTAAATTTGCCTCACACTAGCTGCATGACTTCACTTCATTATGTCAGCTGCTAACATATAACATGGGGTAATAATACCAACTGCAAGGGTGGTCATGAGAATTCTATATATGTAAATCACCTATGTGGATACAATTTCTATTTTCCTGCCAAATCTCCTCACTATCAGAGGATGATCTTCTTTCTGCTTCATGGAGAAAATTAGAAGGTACAAAGTTAATCTCACCAGTTCTTTTTCATAGATTAGTCTCTAGTCCCTTTACCCCTTTCTTTCTCTTTATTTTAAATTTTATTTATTTGAGAGAGAAGGAGAGCACAAGCAGGGGCAGAGGAAGAGAGAGAAGCAGACTCCCCTGCTGAGCACAGGGCTCGATCCAAGGACCCTGGGATCATGACCTGAGCAGAAGGCAGACTTTTAACGAATGAGCCACCCAGGCGCCCCTCTTTAGGGGGAGTTGTTCCTATTCGAAGACACCAGCAGCTTCCTAGCTGCCAAATCCAATTACCTCCATTTCAGTCCTCATTCTGTTTGCCCTCTCTGCGGCATTTACACGTTGACTATTCTCCTTCTTGAAACATTTTGCTTTCTTGGCTTCTCTGAAGCTATACTTTCTAGTTCACTTCCAGTCTTTTTTTTTTTCTTCCTGATTTTGGGTATCTTTTATAGCTGGCATATCATGGAATGCAAGGTCAGTAGCAAAAAGCAGTGGTGAGTCGGTTCAGCTCGCGATTCGAGAAGCAAGCCACGAAAACAACCAAGACCAATACTGTGAAGACACAGAAGCCAAGGAGGGGAGGTGCCAGAGGCTGTCACAGAGAGCTGGAGTCAAGAATCAGGAGCTAGAGATCACCACTAAGGTAACTGGAGATAAGAAAACAGGGAGAAATACCTAATGTGATATAACTATGTTTGCTGGACATCCTTTTCATTTTTACCTGGTGCTATTTTTAGGAGCGCCATCTTAAAAGCCCTGTCAAGTTACCATCCACTTTCTTTCTTTTCGGGCTTTTAAATGCTGTTCCCTAAAGTCCTATTGCTTGGACTTCTCTTTCAATACACACTCAGCCTGGATGATCTCATGCAATCTCATTTTGACTACCTGGTTTTCTTACAGTTTATGGGCATATGTATCCAGATGTCCTGCAGTATTTGAAGCTCAGATGCCTACCTTGAGCTTCGTATCTTCTTAAACTGTTCCCTCCTTCGTTCGTGGCATCACCCCCATCCAGTCTCTCATATTAGAAACCACGATGCCATTCTTCACTTCTTTCTCTTTGCTGACATCCAGTGGGTTGCCAAGACTTCTAAAAATAATTAATGAGAATTTACTACTACTATTATTTCTACTCCCACTACTGTGGCTGCCTTTTAATCTAGCCCTTGAGCTAAGCAGTCTCCTAAGCCCTTTCTATACATTACCTCATCTGATCCTCATAATAGCCTTTAATAATAGCCTGTGGGTGCTGTTATCTCTGTCTAGAGATGAAAAGTCTGAGGCTCGGCATATTTGAACTATTCTCTTATGTTTTAAATAACTTGCTCCCGTTACACAGAATTGGATCCAGGTATTTTAACTCCAGATCCTGCTTTCTCCATCACTATGTTCTGCTTCTACTGTGTTTCTCTCAAGTCTCACAAATCTAGCCCCTCCTTCAGCTACAGTTACACAAGTTCACATACCTGAGCTCAAAAAGCCAATGGATTTGCATAGGAATCCTGGGGCCCCTGCCTGCTCTGTGACTTTGAACAGGTTACTTTCTCTGCCTTTGATTCCTCATTGGTTAAAGAAGTAGGTACTAGCTACATTACATGTTGATTATAGGGTGTAAAATTAAATAATATAAAGAAATTAAATAATATAAAGAAAAAATAAAGAATAAAAGCATAGGTGACCTACGTAAAGCTCTATACCCTTAATACACAATAGGTTACATGACACTTAATACCTGTGTTACTGTGTTACTGAAGTATTCTACTTCAGTATAAGCCCTCAAATGTTTTTACTGCCTATCAAAAGATTTCTAACTGGTCTCCCTAACATAAGACCTGCTAAGATCATTCTCTCAGTTGTTGTCAGAATTATTTTTTTTAAAGCTATATCTGATCAATGTCATTTGCTAAAAGCCTCTAATATTGCTTCTCTCTATGAGTTTGCCTTTTGTGCCATACTAAAGCGCTGACTTAAAGTGGAACCAACTTCTTAAAATGGAATGGCACTGGCCATCTTTCTCATTTATTTTTCTGCTCATCTCTCAAAAGTAGCACAGCCTTCATTAACACCAAACTTATTATTTCATGGACATGCCAGTCCCTTTGATGCTTGTGGGTCTTTTTCTGTTTCCTGTTTTAAGATTTTTTTTTTTTTTTTTTTTTTTTTGAGAGAGTGAGAGAGAGAGCACAAGAGGGGGGAACGGGAGAGGGAGAAGCAGACTTCCCGCCAAGCTGGGAGCCCGATGCGGGACTCAATCCCGGGACTCCAGGATCATGACCCGAGCCGAAGGCAGTCGCTTAACCAACTGAGCCACCCAGGTGCCCCTCTGTTTCCTATTTTAATATTTACCCTTTGTCACCTAGAAAACTCCTGCTTGTCTTCAAGACCCAGTTCCTCATGATACCTTCCCCTGCATCAAAATCAAACACTCCTCTGTGCTATTAAGAGTCCTTTATTCATAGTACTTAATCATGCCAAATCTGCGGTTACTGAATTGCAATTACTTTCCTCAGGGAAAAGACCATTTCCAAATAAAAATCGATCAAATTTGGTGTGTGTTGTATAGTACCTGGTACATTGCAGGTAATTACTATACATCACTGAACAAACAAAGGATACTTAAAAGATTCTTAGAGTTGACAGGACTTGTCACATGCTTAACCTGTTTTCATCACATTAGCGTAATATACAAGCATAAGATTGTTTGGCTACAAGAGGCTCAGTTATTATCAACTGGGACTTATTAAACTTCTCCAACATTTTCCCCCAATTGCAGAGCTTTAAAAATACATAAAAACAACCACCAAAAATTTTTAAAATAAAAGGCACAAGTGAGCACTGCTCAAGTTTTAAGAACAAGGTAATTATACAGATCATGATAATTATCTGTGGTTATTGGTAAATACGTTGCAGCTTGGTAATTGTACACCACTTCAGGTTCAGATTAGAATGTTCCTCTAATTTGCCATGGGAGCTGCTATTTAAAGAGTCAGGCTAAAACCTGGAATGAGAGGAACTCTTTGGAATTATAGTGACATGTCCAAGTCTTTGCAGTTTCCATCCATTTCTCTCATGTGGCAATAATAATCAATTCAGTTAAATAATTTAAAATCAGTAAGTTCTATTGTTTCCCTGAATTCCTTGGAAACAGCTCAGCCAGAGTAATGAGGAAAATCATTGATTAGCAAACTAGAGTGGTGTTTATCAAAATGTGAGTAATGATTCATTAGCATATCAACCCAGCAATTAAAAAAAAAGGGAACAGAATAGAAAATACTAGAATGTGCTGCATCAGGTTAAGAGTATGTTGTTTCATAAAATCTTTGTTACATCTATATGTGTGTGTGTGTGTGTTTACTGGGTTGTGATGTAGAATGTATTTCCCACTCTGGTATACATCTCTCACTGGACTGGGAAGTCGTTTGAAAGGACCACCCTATAGGACACAGCAATATTGTTCCAGGAGTGGGATCACATTCAAGTACCCACTTAATAAAATTGCTTTAATAACTTGATAACATTGTAATCACACCCCTCTTGGGACCCCAAACTCTAATTATATAACCATAATTCCAAAAGCATAATCAACACCTGATTCATTTACTGGACTTGGCTCAAATAACATTTAATTATTTTCAAAGTCAAACCCGTCTCTGAGAGATGCATATTCACTACCATAGAAACTATGCCAAAAAATTTGCCAGAGATTCTGAATACCAAAAAAGCAGTTTGAAAAATATTTTTAGCAAAAGCAACATCACTAAACTTAGACTCAGAGCACTATTTTCTAGGGCTACTCCTGAAGTTTGTTTGCCTGTTTATCACATTTAATTATAATTATCGTATAATTTTCTCCCAATGAGACTGAGTCCCTATCACACAGAAACCTTATTTTACTATTTCTGTATTCTAATGCCTGTGTGTGTGAGAGTGCATATGTGTGTGTGTGGTGTGTGTGTGTCTGCATATATATATGTGTTTGCATGCTACACACGTAAGATGCTTAGTCCTCTCTGATAGTCATTTGGGCTGACGCCAAAGGTTGCTGACGGTTTGCTCTGTAACATCACTTTGAGCATAGTTCTACAATGTAACTCTCCCTCTAGGTTTCAATTAAAATGCTTCAAGGTATTCTCCAGCCCCCTGCCGTAGCTCCTCTTCCATGTTAGTCTTTGCTTCAGTATCGCTTTATATGTTGCACATGCAACCATTACATTTTAGTAAATTTACGACAGGGAAGGGTGAAGAGCACAGGCTTTCTAGTACACAGCAAGGAAAATGTTTTGCCATCAGGTTTTTCCAAATATATAAAATTTCCTCCAGAATATCTTTGTACTCCCTAGAAAATCTCAAACTTTATTTTTCATTGTAAACTCAAACTTCTTTGCCAAATATGCACATCTTGAGCACAGAAGGTTAAGGTCCGGAGCCCGCGGGGCACCTCCCTGGGTTTAGGGGAGCCCGAATTGGCGTCTGCAGCCCCCGAACCGCCCCAGCGCGGGGGTTTCGAGGAGAGCCCGGGGACAGCTGGGTGTCACGTGGGGGGGCCGCGCGGGGACAGGAGGTTCCCCCCCCCCCCCCGGGAAGCTGCCGCCAAGGGGCCGCATCCCCGGATACCAGGCCTGGGGGTTCGTCTAAGGCCTTGCGGGGAGGGGAGCCGACGGGCCCGCGGCCGCACAGGTGTCCGGGCGGTGGCGCCCCGGCCCCCACCCGCGGGGCGGGAGACAGGGATGGGCGCCGCCCGAGCGCGGGGGCCGGGGCCCGAGGGGGAGGTTCCCGCGAGGTGGTTCTCGGGCTCCTCCTCGGCGCTCAGGTTTCCTCTCCCGCCCGCCGGCTGCTGGCTGCTGCGCCGCCTCCCTGCCCCCTACGGCCGGGCCCACTCTGCGGCCTCTGCGCGCCTCGCCCCCGCCCGGGCCTCCTCCCGCTTTCTCTCTCCGCTTCCCCTCGAGCCTCCGGAGGAGCCCGCAGCCGCGGGGCGCCGGGGAAGATGGCGGCGGTGGCGGGAGGCGGCAGCGGCGAGGGGGGCGCAGGCCTGGGCGGCGCGGCGGGGTCGGGGTCGGCGCTGCGCGGGCCGGGCCCCTCCGGCGGCGCGAGCGAGGACGCCCGGGGCCCCGCGCCCAGCGCGCTGCACCCCGAAGAGGTCGCCGCGCGGCTGCAGCGGATGCACCGGGAGCTGAGCAACCGCAGGAAAATCCTGGTGAAAAACCTGCCCCAGGACAGCAACTGCCAGGTACGAGGGCAGTGCTGGGAGGCGACCCGTCCCGGGGGCATCGGAGCAGGGCTCCAGTGGGAAGCTGCCCGGAGGCGTCCAGGCTGGTGCCCGGAGCCTTGGAACGGTCGAGGGGAGGAGGGGGGGCGGTGCGGAGTTAGAACCGCCTGTCGCTTTTGCAAAGCGCCCAGGTTTCTGAGCCTGCGGTCCCCCTGCGAGGGTGGCAGATTGAGAAACTGAGGCTCTGAGAGGCGAAGCGGCTGGTCCAAGGTCACGGGAATCCGGGGAGGCTGTCCTTAGCCCGCCCCGCTCTTTTCTTTCCCCTGTGGCCCTTGCGTGTGCGGGGCAAGGAGAAAGGGTCGCGGGAGTAGTAGGGGAAATGTAGGTGAAGGAGAGTGGAGGTGAGCCAATGCAGCACGGTTCTGGGGGGTCCCTCCGGGGTCCTCCGGACTTGGGTGTGCCGTGCGGGGCGGGGTCATGGGAGACCTGGAAGTGAGTTTTGCTGTTGCAGAAGCACTTGCCCAAGTTTGTATGGGAGAACTCTGTCCCCCTCCCCTCTCCCCCCTCCCCAGGTTACCAAAGCCCCGGAATGGAGAGGTTATCGCTGAGCTTTGGGGAACCTTGCGGCCACCTCTGCCATGCCAAGTACTGGAGGATTTGTTACTCAGTGACTCAAGGAGGCTTAAAGATAGGCTACTTTGAGTCTTTGATCCAGATTAACTGGTAACTGTTGCTTCAAGATTAGAAACTTTGCATCTATTTAACTTTAGTGCCAAAGTCTACATGCTCATTGTAGAAAAGCGAGAAAATACAGAGAAACACAAAGGAGAAGAATAGAAATCACCTGTATTTTTTTTCTCTGTTTACTTGTAGTTGACACACACAGTGTTATATTAGTTTCAGGTGTACTACATAGTGGACAATTCCGTACGTTAGGCATTGCTCACCACGATGTTACCATCTGTCACCATACAAAGTTATTACAATGTTATTGACTAGTTTCCCGATGGTGTACTTCGCATACCCCTTATTTACTTATTTTATAATTGGAAGTTTGTGCCTCTTAATCTCCTTCACCTGTTTCACCCCCCCCCCCCATCCTTCTCCCTTCTGGCAACCACCAGTTCTAGGAGTCTTTTGTTCTTTTGTTTTTTAGATACCATGTATAAGTGAAATCATATGGCATTTGTCTTTCTCAGTCTGACTTATTTCACTTAGCATAATCCATGTTGTCACCAATGGCAAGGAAATATTTCCGTATTTTTGATACTTAAAAACAACTATTGTTAACATGAGATATTATCCTTCTCCCTTCTCCTGTGCCTATGTATACATACGTATTTTTGTTTCACCACAAAAAAAAAAAAAAAAAAAAGGAAAGAGAGACACCATGTCTTTGTACTTCAGGGTTTCTTGATTGTCTAGATGTTCATGTATATCTCATATATAGCTTGAATTTATGTGGATGGGGGAGGGGGGGCTGATAGTGGCAGATTTGGGCCGATTTATATAGTTTCTCCTGTAACAGGATACAGGGAATTGCAAGTGGGCTGGCTGTTGATAATTGCAGGGCAGTTCTTCCATAAGACCCATAAAGTAATGAGAGCAATGCCTCATTATTATGTAATTAGACCTTAAAATAAATGAAAGCATATAACCTTATAATCTATATACATGAGGGGCCATTTTGTTTCAAAAAACAGTGTAAAGAAGTCTCTGTCAATACAATGTATCTCATCCTTCTTTCAGCTCTTTCCATTATTGACCATTTTCCATCTGTCAGGTAATATTTTGTGATGCTAACTATAAGAACACCTGCAATGGACTGATTTCATAGAAGCAAATTTCCCCTACCCATGTAAACAGAAGACAGCAAGGGGGCTCAGGAAGAGTGATGACTGGAAGAGGCAGGTGGCATTGAAAAAAAAAAACAAACAAGGAACAGCAGCTCTGTGTATAGATAATCTAGGAAAAAAGAGATGGAGAAGTGTCTTACTTTGTTTGTAGAGTGTCACCTATTTTTGTTATATTTCCTTGCATTCTAAAAATATTTAGACACAACATTCTAGGCAGTTGGCTCTATCCTTGTTTTTGCTGTTGGTATCTTTCTCATTTCCCTTATTAAGGGACATGAACAAATATATCAAAGGGTCTAAAAAAGAACAGTTTTAATTACTTGGCACTAGTGATGGATGGAGATTTTATGAGAATTATACTGATTTCTATTTTTGCGATATCCTTTCTCTTATGAATTTATGTTTGGCCTAAATCTTAGGATTTTCTGTAAGGTAGCAAGCATAAACTATTGAATAAAATTGATATAAGATCTACATGTCTAGATGAGTCTTTTACTGCCAAGTATCTTAAATTTTTATGTTTAGTTAAATTCTTAAGCCATGTTTTTTTGAGAATTGAAGAATTTCATCTAAAAGCAAAAAAAAAAGTTGTTAGGATCTAGAGATTAGTTTCCAGACTTGTTCTAGCATTTTTCCTATGATGATTTATATTATAAAACATTGTTTTTAATATTTCTGATCTGTAGTTTTAAAATCTAAACATATCAGTGTTTGAGTAGTGTTTTTGTGTCATCTTCTGTACTTGTATCTTTGCTAGTTTTCTGCTCACAATCATAACTATGTGGTCTGTGTTAAATAAGTAGAATAGACCAAAGTAGGCTAATTTTTAAAAGCAATTAAAAGACAGTCTTTAGATTAATTAGACTGAGCATTGCTATTTTTATTGGTTGAATAAAATTAACATATACTTAAAGTTCTAATATTTTTATAAATATATTTTGCAAGGATTTTTTTATATTTTATCTTTTATTTCCCTTCACAATTCTAATGTCTAATTCTAATGTCTTTCTTAGTGGCTGCATTTTACTGTCAACTTAGAAGTGAGGGTTTAACTTGAATTTTATGTTGTTCCTTTTAGCATTTATTGCTTGGCTAAACTATTCCTTGTGAAATAACTAACATGGTTTAAGAAAAAGCTACTACTTTTTGTTCAGTTATTAAGTAATCAGATATTTTAAATATCAAATTCCTGTTCTTTTCTAGAAGACTCTATAGGTTCATTCATTCATTTATTCTAGAATATTACATTAAGGATCGAGGCCATTCCTAACTTTAGTTCTCAAGCTGTATAGTGATGTCTCTAGAAAATTTCCATTGTAACTGATTAGTAGGAGCCCAATAATATTGTTTTAACCTTTTTAAAACATGAGTGTTTCCTTTATTAAACATGATTTTTAGTAATCTTACTCAAATTATCGTTTTTGGTAAAAACAGTTCTTAAAAGCTGCCTCATTTAAGTTACTGTGCCGTCAGCCAGGTGCTGTCTGGTTGGCTGCCTACGCCTTCTCGAATCCTCCTAGCCCTCTGTGTTTTCATCGTCTCAGCTCTGGTTCATGTCCCTTTTCATCTCTTGCCCAGACTATTACAACTTTTCTGTTTATCATCTACCCTTATTATTGTCTATGTTTTAGCCCATCCTGCTTACTGCTTCCCCTGAGAGAACTACCCCCCCCCCCCCCCAGGCACAAATCCAATCATGTCACTCTCCTGCAAAAAAAAAAAAGAGAGAGGCTGGGCTCTACATTCCCAGCACTGCTTCTCAGACTCTTCCTCAAATGGCCCTCAACATGTCTCCTTTCCTCAAATTGTAAGGAATAGTGAAGCTCAGTTAGCTTACCCCAAGAATGAAATTGCTTTGAAGCTTCATGTTCTCACTGACAAATTCATATTAATTTTATGTTCTACTAGTAAACTTGGATTTAATATAAACACAGTGACTTAAACTTGTTTCACTGTCCTCCAAATTTTTTTCATAAACTTGACACTTATGGAAGATGCACATATTTATCCTCTGATTTTTCCATACCCGTTTATGACCATGGAGTGCTCAGACCTTGGTTTGAAAGCACAACATAATAGGATAGAAATCTAAGACTCTAGGCCTTTTGTGACTTGGCCCTTGCCTATATGGCAGTCTCATTTCTTCTTAGTCCTACATTGGATTCTACTCTAGTTTTCTCAAGCTACTTAGACTCCCAAGTGCTTCAGGCCACTGTGATTTGGATATTTATTGTAATGTCTTTGAACGTTTATGTTTTGGAATGTAATCGTAGTAATTTATCATAAATAACATTTGTAATAATTATAATTACATGAATAGTAACGTTGAGAACACTGGTTCTTATTCAGAATAGCCATTGTGAATGTGTGTGCGTGAATAGTCTTTTGCAGCTCTGAACTTAGAATTTTGATTTAAGGTAATGTCCTAATATGTGTTTTTTATTGCCCTTCCTATACATTGTTTATATTTGTTAGTTAGCCTGGTTCTATTTCAAAGAACTGTTAATTCTGGGATTTCAAAATGGAGAAGACAGTGGCATTTACTCCCTATGTTGTTTGAATTCACTTTTTTTTCTAACATGTTGGGTATGTGTACATGTGTTTTGTTCTTGTGTTGATTTTAGAATCTGAATGCGATTTTCTTGTGTAATTAAGAGAAAATGTGAAGTGCTTAGGGCTAACAGCCAGGATCCGTAATAGAAGAAACATTCTCTTGTCTCACTCTGGGCATTATTAGCTTTCATTTCAAAGTACTCTATTATAATGGTTAATTGAGAAGCTTGATGGTTAATTCACAGAGATCTGTGTGAAAGCATAGTATTATCAACTAAGTACTTTTTAGAATAACAAACCACCTAATGTAGAAAACTCCAGTTGAGTTTCTTTTTAAAAGCTACTTATTCCTGTTTTTCTTTCATATTGGTCAAAACCGATAGAATTTTCTCACATACATTTTGTTTTTTAACAGATTTTCAAGTATACATTGTTTTCTCTAATACTATATTCAGTAATTCCCGCCTCTTTTTGTATTGGGCTCTTGTTCACTTTCTCCTGATAATACTGGGATATTTTTGTATTTTGAAATTATTCTTTTTCTTATCAAGAATGGGTGCTATTAGGAAAGACAAGAGAAAGAAAGGAGACTGGGTAGGCGACAGAATCAGG